TGTATTTTTTAAAAAGAGTAATCTCTATGTATTTCTCATATGTTAACACTAACTAAATTAAAAATGAATCAGTTATTAGTTAAAATGGATATGGACAATATATTGGGCCCCTGAAGCCCACTTGCAGGGGATGGTCATTATTTAGTTAGTCAGGAGGGATGGTTGGTTCAACTGATAACCATCGTTGCTGCTGATTTATAGAGAACTACTGAGAGTGGGTGTCCAAATTAAGGAAATTGATCTATATTCATGGTTAATGATAGTAGTGGGGGAATGTAAAACAATAAATTACAAATAATTTATTATTTCTTTTTAATCAGGGGTAATTTTGGACCCCAAATGCATATGATTCTCAGTTCACAGCACATCAGCCTCATTTGTTCATACAAGGTCCTCTCCTGTGTTGTTTTATTTATTCATTCACTTTCTTTCCAGCTTATTTCTCTTTCCCATTCCCTTCTCCCCTTCATGACACTATTTATTTGATATCTGTCTTTTAGTTGTAAAATATATAATATTATTTTATTTTATTTGTTATTATTTATTTTGTTATTTGTTATTATTTTGTTATTTATTATTTATAATTATTTATGTTATTTTATATGTATATCATTATAGTTTATACAAGTGGCATGGCCTGTTTCTCACTTGTTTTTACATGGCCAATGATTTTAAGATAAATCCACTTTGTTGTCTTAATATCTGGTATAGTCTGTTTCTTCCAACCTCTGCCATAGTGAGCATTTACCACACTCTAATTGTCCATTTCTTCTGATGCTTCTACTCCCTACAAATATACCCACAAGAAGACGATTGCTGAGTCATAAGGTCATGTGTAATTTAACTGGGCCATACATAATTTAACTGTATTCTGCCAGATTGCCACCCAGAATAGTTGTGCTTGTCTGTATTTTATTATAATAATTACATGTTTATAAATTGTAAATAAGCCGTTGTTATTTTTTCATCCTGTCATAGTCATAACATTCTCATATCATAGAGCGGGAAAAAACCTGAACAATCATCTAACAAGTATAATTTCCTTGATGAACTCGGTGTCGCTTGATCCCACATCCTAGTCAACACTTAACATTTTCTGGCTATGAAGTTTTTGCTATCTGATGTGAGTGAAGTAATATGCCCTTATTGCCTTAGTTTTAAGAGCTATGGCTGCTAACCAAAAGGTCAGCAGTTTGAATCCACCAGGCGCTCCTTGGAAACCCTATGGGCCAGTTCTACTCTGTCCTGTAGGATCCTTAGGAGCCGGAATCCGCTCGATGGCAACGGGTTTGGTTTTTTTTTGAATCACTAATAAATCTGAGTTTTCCTCATGTACTATTTCCTCCTCTTTGATTGATTTTGTTTTGCTAATTGCTAAGAGATTTCTTTTTTTTCCAGTCAAGTATCATTTTTACTAATTTTTATAACAGCATAAAATGTTAGGAACACATAAAAGTAAGGAATTGTATAGCACCTGTCACATAGTAGGTGCTGAAAGCTATTTGTGGAATGAATAAAATGAATAAAAGTCATGAGCTTCAATATAATGTATATTTAGACATATAGTAACAGTAAGATTTTGAGTACTAATGGAACAATTTTAATCAATAAGGTGTTTTTGATGTAATGGTAATATTAAATATAGACCAAGAAATAATATAACATAAAATTTTGTGTACACCTACTCCTCACTTTCCAACTATCTCATTGTCCAACATTTTGCATGTATGACAATAGTAAAAACTCTACTATCTGACTATTTTGCACATTAACAACCTACGTCTGGCACTAACGAAGGCTGAGATGCGAGGAGAGAGTAACACGGGCTGTGATGGTTAAGGTTCCGGCTATGGTGGTTAAGGTTATGTGTCAACTTGGCCATGATTCTCAATGGTTTGGCAGTTACTGAATGATGTAGTCATTTTCCGTTTTGTGATCTGACATCTTCATCCTCCTTTTCGCAAAATGCCGATTTTGTGTAACGACCCAGTCTTTGGAACCTAACCATGTTGATAAAGTGAGAAGAGGCTGTATTACAGAGATAAGAATAGCTTTTGCCAGTTTGAGGAGCATACAAAATTAAGTAATCCTAGAATTTATCAAAACACAAATTTGGAATGTTTTATGTTGATTGATTTTTTTTAAGTTCTAAAATTACCTTGTTATTATGTAATTTTTTTCAGTAACCTATTAAATATAAAGTTTTGAGAAACAAATCCTATCATCACTCTCACACACTCAGCAGAACTATAAATTATCTTTTGGTTTTCCTATTAGAAGCTATTAGGATAGGCAGTTTCTAGGGATATAATTCAAGTACCATCTGTGCATACTCAAACTTGAATAATTGTTTAATGTACACAGTTATCATTGAAATACAAAGAAAATGTAAATGTTTGTTCATAATACTAATTGATAAATATAACCTTTCGGGTGTATATTATCTTCCAAGAATGCTTTATAAAACACGGAGTGAAAAGATATCTTACATTGAAAATGCTTACATTCAAGTCTATTAGATGATAACATGTGACTCAATTGAACTTCCCTGGAGTGTAATCATTTTCAAGAAATTTTTGTGTATATTTTCAAATAGTTTATAGTATTTTGTAATCTATAAATATTTTTCAAATATATTTGAAGTCACACGATATTTTATTCTCACAATACTAAAACTATCTTATGAAATAAATGATCAATTTGTATATTCTTTTGGCTATTTTAGCATGGTTCTTCTAGGATTAGGAGGAAGTTGGAGAAGCAATGTGAGGGGAGGTGTAGATGACAATGTTTAAGTGGTTGCATTCCCTGTAATTGCTGATACCCATGTGGGCACCAACACAGACTAAAAGGCCTGGCAAAATTATTTGAACTGAAACACAGCACTGAACCAAATTCTGGTGTGAAGTTGAGGGAAAATGTTCAGCTGTTCTATCATGAGTTAGAGAACAGCATGTTGTCCACGGTCTTGGGTATATGTCTACTCAAGACTCTAGTTAATTATAATTTTCTCAGCAATTTTATTAATGATAATAGTCTCCTTTCTTATAACTACAAGCATTTTTTCTTTTCACTAGTTAATTATATTTTATAAATTTGCCCCTTTATTTTGTATTTAAATAATGAACAGGTAAATTTAACAGAAAAACCATGAATATATAAGGCCATTTCTTTCATAGAATATGCTCCTGCAGAAATGTGACAATGCAATTTCTGGATTAAAATACCATAAAGCTGTTTCAATTCAACACCATCTGTTCATAAATGTATGTACTCTTTCTCCTGAACAACAACAACAAGTGTGCTTTATTTTCCTCATTCAGTGTGTTTGTGTGTTTTATTTTTCTTTAGTGGGGTTGTCACTGTCTTTTACATAATTTTTTTATTTTATGTGTATAACAGCCTGGGATTGTTGAAATAAGCCTAAGACCCATCTGAAGATAAAGTTTTCTTGGAGTAAGTTATAGAAAGTCATTCTTGTTTGTGTTATTGTGAGCATTTTTATGAACTTCATTTGCCATTTCACTCTAGTGAAAAAACATTTTCTTGATAGCTACTGGTATTATGCTTTTCAGTGTATATCATAATCATTAAAACATTCAAGTACTCAGTCATGCCATGCTTAGAATTTCTCACTGAAGCCAAAGGTGAGCAATAGGGAATTTCACATAGACGTGTGTAAAGCTCATTGAAAGCCTGATTGTTCAACAATTATCTTTTTCTATTTAAATTATGGTCCATTAATGGAATACAGACATTTTCTCAGCCAAAAGCTGGTAAATCCATTGCTGTTGAGTTGGTTCTGACTCATAGCGACAGTATCCAGGCACCACCATTTTAGATAGTTTAATATAATTTGTATCCAGCTCACATAGCAACATTTTAAGACCACACAGGTCTTGCCAAATATGCACCCCTAAATTATTTTAAAGAAGCCCTGGTGGTGCATTGGTTAAGCACTCAATTGCGAACCTAAAGTTTAACAGTTCAAACCCGTTCTGAGGCTCTGCAGGAGAAAAGAGCTGACAATCTGCTCCTTTAAAGATTACAGCCTAGAAAACCCTATAGGGCAGTTTTACTCTGTCACATGGGGTTGCTATGAGTCAAAAATCAACTCAATGGCACGTGACAACAAATTATTTTAACACATCATATAAAATGGACTCATGAAATAAATGTAAAATGTCAAAATATTAATTATGTTACTATTTTTTTCTTTTTGTATAGAATTATTGTCTAAACATAGATGAAAAATGAAATACCTTTAGCCAGGGTCAACTTCATAATTTGCAAGCCCAGTGCAAAATGAAAATATGGAGTCCTTTGTTCAGACATTATTAAGAATTTCAAAGCCTTAAGCCAAGCGTGGGGCCCTTCTGCACACTGGGTCCTACACTACTGCACAAATCATACACTATGAAATTGGCCCTGCCTGTTACATTCTTACCATTCTTCTATTCAGAAATATCTAGTATGCAATACAGACAAATGGCACAAAGTGGCAATCTGTTATATGTGAGCAAAGTTGAAGCCACAAATGTTTCTTGAGGGAGCATCACAAATGAAATCCTAATGACTTTTCCTTACCACTCCCACCCCACAACAGAATACGGAAGTTTACACTGTCCAGTAGCTTGCACCCCAGGGAAAATCTATATTGGTGGTGTAATTGTTTTTTCCTACATAAAATTGGTTTAAGCAATATATATTCAATAATGTTTTCTTTATAGCAGTGTGAACAGAATGCATGCGTTTGATAATATTAATAAATTTTCAAAAGTAAAATTTTGCATGTTGTAATTAGATATATTTTATGTGTTCAGGTAAGTTGATGAAATCAAGCCATTTAATGGTATTAATGTACCAGAGAACGTGGAACTGATGTTCTCTGAAATGGTGTGCTGAGTTTGTTTTGAAATGAAAAGCAATGCCTTCTATGCCCTATGGACCCAGAGTAGAAATATTACACATTTGATTTTAAACTCCAATTTGTCTTTTAGGGATGCAGGTATTGGAATGGAATGGAATTCCTTTAACATCTAAAACATATGAAGAAGTGCAAAGTATAATTAATCAGCAAAATGGGGAAGCAGAAATATGTGTAAGACTGTGAGTTTTTCCCCATCTTTTGGTTTCCATTTTTTGGCTATTCATGGCTGTTTTAATTTAAAATTGTTAAGGTGGAACCTTTGCCAGTCAGCAAGATGTTCTGTAATTAGAAAATAAAGTGAATACAAGTTTTATAGATGTCTCATGTTCAGAATCAAACTGTAAAGCATGGGAAGAATTCAGCTAATTTTATTTCTGATTATATCAGTAGCTTTCCCCTTTCGTGCGTTTACTGAAACATGCTTCATGTAAATGAAAGCCTAAACCCATTTAGATTTCATGGATGTGTATAGTATTGCAAAATGAACTTACATTTAATCCATAAAGATTTCACCTTAAATAATCATTTTTATCAGCTCTGACTTTTAACAGCATTGCAAATATATATTGGGTTAGAAGGGTGAGCATGCTTTGGAGTTGCTTTATATCATTAACCACTTCTCATTTACCTACTGAAATAAAACATTCAGGGTAATTGGGAAAAAAAAGTGCATTTTGTCTTAGGCCTCCTCAAATTCTTTCTTAATTTTGTGTTTTATTTCTTAGGGACCTCAATATGCTATCAGATTCTGATAACTCCCAGCATCTGGAACTTCATGAACCACCAAAAGCTGGTAGGTGAAAGCAATCTGCTTTCAAGTGCAAATAAAAATGTAGATGTGGGTATACATGTACAAACTAAACCAATCCCATTGCTGTTGAGTTGATTCCAACTCATAGCAACCCTATAGGACAGAGTAGAACTGCCCCATAGGGTTTCCAAGGAGCAACTGGTGGATTCTAACTGTTGACATTTTGGTTAGCAGCCAAGCTCTTAACCACTATGCCACGAGATAAGTTTGTTTTTTTTTTTTAAATAATATTTTACTGTGTTTTCGGTGAAAATTTTCACAGCAAATTAGGTTCCTATTTGAAAATTTCTCCACAAATTGTTTAGTGACATTATTTACATTTTTCATAATATGTCAACTTTCTCTTTAATTTTGTTCTGGTTGGTCCATTTCCAGTACTCTAGTTTCCCTGCCCCCTTATCTTCTCATTTTTGCTTTAGATAATTGTTGGCCTTTTGGTCTCATATAAATGGTTTTTTAATGGAGCATTGTAGTCACAGGTGATATCCTTTTTTGGTGTGCCATTCAGTTATTTCACTAAAAGGTGACCTCAGGGGATACTTTTGGTTCAAGGTTTAAAGAATAGCTCAGGCCATAGTCTCAGGTAGAATTCTGTAGTCTCAACCGGTCCAGTAAGTCTGGACTTTTTAAGAATTTGAGTTCTGTTCTGCATTTTTTTCTTCCCATTCTATTAGGGTCCATCTATTTTGGCTCTGATCAGAACCACTGGTAGTGGTAGCCAGGCACCATCTAGTCTTCTGGTCTCAGGGTATAGATGAGGTGGTGGCTCATGTAGGCTATTAGACCTGTAGACTACTGTATTTTTACACAAATAACACACACCTTCTACCTTTGTGTGCAAACCACACCCTCCTCCTGTGAGGTATTTTCATAAATGCATTATCCAGTTATTTTTATAGCAAGCACAGCATGCTTAGGAAGATACCTTAAGCTCGGGGAGAGCACAGTTGGCAAACAAACATAGAAGGTGTGCATTATTTACATTAAAATGCAGTTTCTTCTCTGAGATTTTTGTTTCTGATGTAGAGGTAGTCTTGAAGTAGATATAGTTGTAGAAGAAGATGTAGACATAGACAAGTTAAAATTACAGATAGCTAAATTCTTATATATTTATATAATTGTAAACAAAATCAAATGCATTATAGCTACAGATTTAGCATTCTAGGGAAATACAGATTTGCATGTTAGACCTATTAAAGTAATACATATGAAATGTATTTTATATCATTTATATTCTTATTTTGTGAGTTAATATTTTCAGTTCCTTGAAAATAAATTTATCCTATAAAAGTAATCCATGGAGCCACTTTTTTGGAGGGTCTTACATAATTTTTAGATCATACTTAATTGATTCTTTTTAACATAAATGAGCTTTGGAACACTTATTCCTAAACCTTACTGTTTCCTTAGATGAACATATAATTTCCTAACAAATAGATTTAACTCTTTCCTAGGTAATCAGTATACTCTATATATTTAGGTCAATTTCTTAAGATTAAAAATATCACTTATTCTTTTGTTTAGCAAATTTTTACTTACTATGCTATAACCACTATTCTAGGGGTCTGGGATACTTTACTAATCAGAACAAATGGAGTCCTATAGAGATTTTAATACATCTGTAAATGTAAATATACTCTAAAAATTCTGCCTCAGTTAAAGAGATGTATATTATTTAAAGAAGGAAAAATAGCTGATCATACAAATTATGTTCCAGTAGAAAAAACAGAATATTTCATCATTCATTTGGTTCTCTTGTCTATGTAAAACATTAAAAATATTCTGAAGAAGTACGAGACACTTCAATTTCCCTCTGTAATTCACCATCATTTCCACTCTCCTCTTAGCCTTCTAGACTTCTTTAGAGATTGATACATAAAGGTACAAGGAGTTAATCTTTTTTTAATCTTAGCTTATTTTATAAGTAGTATTTTGACTTTATCACCTAGAGCTTAGGCATTACAGGCCGATGATAAATATGTAAAGTCATTTCATTTTGTTGTAGTGGATAAAGCAAAATCCCCAGGGGTTGATCCTAAGCAGTTGGCAGCGGAACTCCAGAAGGTTTCGATGCAGCAGTCACCACTTGTTCTGTCATCAGTTGTTGAAAAAGGATCACATGGCCACTCAGGTCCTACGTCAGCAGGATCCAGTTCTGTTCCCAGCCCTGGACAACCAGGGTCACCCTCCGTGAGCAAAAAGAAACACAGCATCAGCAAGGTGAGAAGTGTTCAATTTGACTTTTGAGTAACTTATTTTCTAGCTCTTTATTCAGACCAGGAGCTGGGAAGCAAAATACCACTTTGTAAGATGGTTTTCTTGTGACTTCTCATTTCCTCGTGATTTATCAAAACAATTTTTTTTCCTTCCGAATATAACACTGATCAAGATATACCAGATGATGTATTTCTAGATCCCTTAAAACATTTTAGCAGAAGGCCTGATATTTCTTGGTTATTTTTCACTGTCGTTGCATGATGCTGGGCTTCTTTGTGTATAGAACACTAGCTTTGCATCTTTTTGGAAACAAAAGGTGTAAAATCCTTTTCTTTTTTTAATTTTTTTTTTACTGTACTTTAGGTGAAGGTTTACAGAACAAATAGTTTCCCATTACACAGTCAGTACACATATTATTTTATGACATTGGTTAACAACCCCACAACCTGTCAACACTCTCCCTCCTCGACCTTTAGAGGACCTTTTTTCTTTTTTGGTAAAAATACACATAGCTAAAGATGCACCATTTCAAAAATTTCTACGTGTACAATACAATGACATCAATTACGTTCTTCCAGTTGTGCTGCTATTCTCACTCTCCTTTTCCAGATTATTCCATCACCATCATCTTCAACTCACTGCCCCCTAGGGTTCCCATCAAAACTTTTGAGTTGCTGTTGTCAATTTGATCTCACATAGATAATTCTTTTTTTTTTTTTTTTTTATCTTAGATG